CCACACACACACACACACACACACCATCTCAAAAGAGCTAACTAGAGTCAGGTCATATGACACGGGGTCACTGAGTGGGTGGGGGGGGGGCATGTCAAAGGTCAGCTGGAGGCATTCCAGCATCATCAGAGCAGCAGGTACTGTACATGCACTCGGTGGTCACATCTTCACATTCCTTTATTCATCCATCAGTCCAGGCGGCTTGTCTTACACTAATCACACTGTGCCCCCCCTTCCCTCAAAAACACACACAAAAAAAACACACACCCTGTCCCCCCCCAATCCCATGATCTACAATAGGAGACAGTGTCAGGAAACCTGGACTCCGTGAGTTCACAATGAAACCTCTGTCTTTCCAGGTAGAGATGGTGGGGGTGGGGGGTGGGGCACAGAGTTGTTGGTGGTGTGTGTGTGTGTGTGTGTGTGTGGGGGGGGGGGTTAGACCATTTGGGCAGAGGTTGGAGACCTTCAAAGCATGGGACGAAAGAAAGAGGCCAGCTGGGACTCTTGTGTTGTCGTTTATGTGCGAGAAAAAGCTTGTGTGTGTGTTTGTGTTCTCCTGTGTGTGTGTGTTCTCCTGTGTGTGTGTGTGTGTGTGTTTGTGTGTGTGTGTGTGTCTGTGTGCACTTTGCGAGCCCAGGCCAAGTCTCTGACAGTGAGACAAATGCTGCAACTCCTTTATGGATTGCTTAACAAACGCAGCACAAATAGATGCCTCGCATGACAATGGTAAAACACTGTCCGTCGCTCAATAAACATTAAGCCGCCTCCCCCTTTTCACAACGCCACCAGGGGATCGGGGTCACCATCCACCGGATGCACTTCTCCGCTCCTTGCCTGTCTATTTTCATGCAGCCCCCACTCCTCCCCCAGCGTTGTCTTTCTGCCTCTCATTCCCTTTTCTGAAGCAGGATTTTCCCACGAGCCGTCCTCACTTCGAGACAAATGAGTGCAGAAAACTTTCCCCTTATCTTTCTCCTCATCCTTTTTTTTGCCAGAAAAGACGTCCATGTCCAGTAACTCAATGTTAGGACATAAACAGCGTCCTAATAAGGAAAGCTAACAGGCATGACAGGGAAAGTATGATGACGAAAACTTTGGGTGGATGAATGAATCGGAGAAAAGTTGAGGCCTTTACACCGAAAACAACTTTTTTCCTCCGTGTGTTTGTGGCTGAATAGCAGCAGTGATATGAGGTTGTGTGTTGTTGTCTTTTGTGGTGAAGCTGGACAGGAAGCACGGTTAGGGCTGCCGGCCGGCGATTTAAGGCGCTTCACAGAGGACGCTTTGTGTTCGAGACTGAGGTGTCTATAGGAGCTGTTCCAAGGACAAAATCGAGCCACTTTGCAGCTTGAACCGGGCAGAACGGTTTGATTTGTCGCACAACGACGCGCTCACAGGCCAGCTGTAAAATAAGCTCGACGCTTCTCGTAATTAGCTTCGTCGTTTAACGTTGCTCCGAAAGATCGAACGAGAAGTTTTGTGGTCGCAGGGCGTCAAAGACGACGAGTCTATAAATAGATTTTAGGCAATATCCTTAAAAGTCTGCTCAAGTTGGAACGAGCTGGAGAGAAGGGAGGGATGGAGGGACATTCTTACAAAACAGCTGATTGTGTAAAGAGAGAACAACAGAGCAGAGAGAGGCAGGAAGGAGGAGAGAGAGAGGGATGTTCAAATAAGTTCAACAGCGTGCGACGAAGGGCAGAGACGAGTTGAAAGGGGGAATAATGGCGATAAAGCAGCACGATGTGTTGGTTTAAATTCCTGCCTGAGGTGCCACACGTTTGTAAATGTTGCACTCGGCTCTTCGGAGGCAAATAAAAAAAAACAGCCTTATCTAGAAAGGCACATTCCACTCAACTATTTGATGCCCTTCCATTCCCTCAGAGAAGAATTTCAAAGATGGAGCCTCACCTGAGTGACGGGCAGAGGCTGCTGAGCTTTTTCAAAGGTGGCAGAGACTTTTAAAAAAAAAACCATAAACGCTGGATTGGATCGACTGCGTGCTGCATTTGTGCGCTGATTAAAACAATGAGCTTAAATTTAAAGAGCAGCCACACACACATGAACACACACACTGCTGAGGAATTCTCCAGAGGAGGCTCCCACGCTCCCTGAAAGCTTGTTCTGAGTAGAGGAGTTAACAAGAGCAGTTAGCGCCATGATTATGTTAGCAGCCAAACACACCGAGCAAACAACCGTGTGTGTGTGTCACATTCCTATAATTGCTTTGTCTTAAACCGTTGTCCCCGTTCTCCTCAACTCATTGAAACGTGTGTTTTCCTGCATGTGAGAGCGCTCCCAGCTGCAGCTCTGCCAACACGAAATGGGCGCCTTGATTACAGCGAGCCGCGGCCAGGAGACGGTTAACCACCGCCGATGGCGATTATTCCGCCCGCTAATGGACGTCCGCTGCTGTCCGATTAGTGACTTAGCGGCGGACGACATATGCGATATGAGAGGGACTTAGTTGAGGAGCCACTAATCGTGAAAAAGCCAAGGGGAAGTGGCGCTCTAATCTCAGCTTAGCGCTCTCACCGTGCACATGTGAGCGTTTGTGAGTTGGGAGTTTTTACGAAGCAGAAAGGCTTTTTAACAGAAGGCTGCAGCATGAAAGTGGGTGATTTTGTTATATAAAAGAGTGAATTAATGCTAATACTCACTAATTATCACTATTTCGTCAGCTTAATAAACTGCATCCTTTTATTTTGCGTTTCCTCGGGGGCTCCTGCTGCCGAACTTTAAACGAAGCAGCCGGCGTAACCTGCGACGCCCGCTGTGTCCGGTCGTGTCGTGCTTCCACTTCAAAGGCCGTCTGAGAGGAGCAAGGGGGAGTTTATAACCAGAGGAGCTGTAAAGAGGACTTATTTTAAAGGCACCCTCCTCTGAGGAAGTTGAAGCAGAGTGGGGAGAAGCAGCCAGATATCCCGATTAAATAAACAAACAAGTTTGACACACGAGTGACAAATCTGTGGATGAGCAGCTACTGTGGTCGAAATGGATGAAATTATAAATCAAAGTTTCCGTATGAGCGTGGGCCGAGAGGCCTCCGAGCCGAGCCCAGGTCCGTGTGTCCGGTTCTGGTGGGACAGAGGTGTGTGTTCAGGGTACAAGGGCCCGTGTGTTTGTGTCTGCTACAAAAGGCCTTAGTGTGAGCGAGTGAAAGGAGGCAAAGTAAACAGGTAGTGATGAAGACAGACCTCTGTTCTGTGTGTGTGTGTGTGTGTGTGTGTGTGTGTGTGTGTGTGTGTGTCGCGTGGCTCAAAAGGCAGTTTGTACAGCTGGGCCCGTTGGCCGGCGTGTGAAATGACACTTTTTACAACTTACGTATCATAACTGTTTTCACAAGTCGGTTTCAGTTTTCGTCTCGATGCGTTTCAGCGATAAAACGTTTTATCTGTTCCCGTTGAAGGAAAAGCTGAAGTGGACGTGTGCGAGTTTTTTGTTTGTTTGTTTGTTTGCTTTTGCTGAGCTCAGGTGGAGGAGAGATAAAGAAATCATTTGTTCCTGTTGATGTGTTTTCATGCTGTTTGTTCTTCTCCCGCACATCCTGTCCTTTTCTGAGAGCAAATATTTCAACTTCAGCGTTATTTCACCCAAGAATGCAGCGAATCGTATGTTTTAGAAATCATTAAAGCTGCGATGCTTTGATTTAAGAGTTAAAGCATGCGCCGAGTAGATGTTCGGAGGAAACGGGGCTTTTCGTTGCTTCTTCTGCGATCCTGAAAAACTTCTCAGAAGTAAAAACACACTCAGCAACGTGCAAGTAATGAAATTCATAAATTGGTTAAAATTATTAAATTATCTGGACAGAGTTTCCTGAAATAATTAAATTACGTTCTCCCATTTCTAAAACTTGGGAGTTTTCCGAACGTGTCCTGGAGTGACGCTTTGAGCTGCGCTCGATATCGTTTGCGTTTCCACCGTCATGAGGTAAATAAGCAATGAATTAGGGGCAGGGCTGCTCCGAGGAAGAATGCCAGATGTACAGTCCGGAGGAAATCCAATAGAGTCAGGAGCGTAATCAGTTTACTGGAGACGAGGGGAGGAATCTGAGCGAGAAAGGCCGAGAGTCAATTAAAGTCAGTTCAGGGACGTGTGCAGATGTGTAAAAATAAATAATTAAGAATGATTGAGGCGAACGCCTGTTGCTTGTTTCTACCTCCATGATCAGAACCCCGTCCCTCCATCGCCGTCGTGTGTCGCCTCTGCGCGGCAGAGCGCCGGCAGCCTATTACCCAGGGTCATAGTCGCAGTGGCTTCAAGGCTGACAAGTGCATCTGAAAGCACTCAGGCGACGCCGAGAACCGCATTAAATTCTATTATTGCCGCACAGTCACTTCATCTCCATTCAGCTGAAGTACAGGGAGGCAAATTTACCTTGTGAGAGACAGAGTTCATCTAATAGACGTGGCTTTATATCCTTTTCCCTTTTTCCAAGGGAACAAAGCCATGATAACAAATGCAAACAGTAGGGCTGTCATGTTGCTCGCTATTTTCCTCCGGTTCCTCCATTGTCCGCAGGTTTTTATAAATACATATTATTGCCACTGTGCATACTGCCCTCGGCCTGTGTTTCTCTGTGAAAAGCCTATTGTCAAGACGTGGTCATTTCCTCCACAATGCCCGTGCAAGCTCGCTCCATTTGCAGTAATGGCCCCGTCTTTTGGAGAAGTGAACGCTGAATGGCCCCCGTGGTAAACATATTGTAAGACCTGAGAGAGAGTGTGTGTGTGTGTGTGTGTGTGTGTGTGTGTAGGTCTGCCAGCAGTCTGACAGAAGAGAAAAGGAACTTGTTGAGAAGAAAAACAAAAGAGTTTAAAGCAGGTCGATGACATGTAAGAACCTCACGGAGGAGTTTATCTGTGGGAACTTCCCCTCCGGCTCCGTCGCTGCAGCCGTCAGCCTCTCGTTTGTGAACATTGCTCACTCTCCCTCCTGTTTTTCCTCCCCTTCTTCTCCGTATCCTACTCTTTTCCAGGATGTCTTCCAAGCGACCAGCCTCTCCATATGGGGGGACAGATGGAGAGGTAACCATGGCAACCAGCAGACAGCGAGTGGAGGACGAGGAGAGCGAGGGACTGGGCGGTGTCATCCACCTCCCCCTGGCCTCCTACTGCGGCAAGGTGTCCCCTCGCTCGCCCCCCAGTCGCAACCTGGACAGCCCTCCCAGCACGGTAAGGACGGCCGCGGGTTCGAGTCTCTTGTCTTCACGGTCTTGCTGGTTGGCAGAGCAGGCTCGGAGTTGCACCAGGAAACAGGTGGAGGCTGAACTGGAGCTGACGTGTGCAGCGGCTGAATGTCAGCGACCACACAGTCAAGTTCATTTTATTCACCCGAGATATTTCTTTCACTTCCACCGGTCCAGCGGATCAACGTGGACAGGGATGCACATTTTAGAACCCTTTCAAAATAAAATACAAGGGCAGAGATAGAAGCTTGGGACGCTTTGAGTTGTTTTTTTATTTTTATTTAATTTGTAGATGATACTTGTTCTGTCAAAAGAAAAGAAGCCCAGGTATGAGGCAGGTCGGCACGTCCATGTGCCGGTGTTAACCAGCTAAAAGACACGGCCATGACGGTCGCAGGAACTCTTCACATTTGTTCATTTGAACAAATATTCAAGTATCCCGAACATTCCTAGTTGAGGACACATTATCAAGCAGTTATTCTAATTTGTCCTGTTTGCATCTACATGACAGACTTTGCGTTAAACAAATGTTTGAATATGTGAATTTCTCCTATAAAAGAACTTCCATAAGCTTCTATATTTATCTATAAGCAAAGGTCGTGTGACGCAGTTTGGGGCTGCAACGCATTCAGAACGATTGGATTTTTTTTAACTATTCAAAGTGAATGTCTATAAAGTACAACAGTTTTTCTTGAATCTGATAAACTTTTAAGATAATGCTGTTTACTCAACACAGAATTACTCCGCATGCTTTTGCAACGAGCACAGACAAACTGTTGAGCCCTAAAAAGGAAGAAACGATTGTTGCTGGAAGCTGCAGGTTTTTGTTTAAATATAACTGGCAGAGAAACAACGGAAAGTTTTAGGCTACTGTTTGGGTGCACCTGCTTTGTTTTATTGTGGGCTGCCTATTATTATCCACCTGACAAGGGTTTCTTAACTTTATCTTTCTCTTCTGTCAACTTTAATGCAGCGTAAATCGCAATGTGTACCCCCACAATTCTTATATCAAAACGACCGCCTTGGCACCCTGATGTGTGCTTTTACTTTTATTGGCATTTGGAGTTACCATGGCGACGTAATTTGCAAACAAAGATGCCATTTTTCTAATTGAAAAGCACAGACTGAACTCGGTCATAATTTGAAATACTGAGCTGAAATTTGGTATGGTCGTAGCCGAGAGCGAGTGGATATACATTCCTTATGCAAATTAAAAATCCAAGATGGCCACCTTAGCTAAAAGAGAAAAAAAAAATGTGATAACTCAACCATTTTTAGAGCTATTCGGCTGAAATTTGGTGTGGTGGTAGTTAAGAATAATAAAGTTCCTTAAGAACTTTAACGGGGACTGCCACGTGGCAGCCATGTTAAATTTTTGATTTGACATTATTATCTGTTCAGGTTTGTTCTCAGCAGAACATGGCAAAAATCAATGATAGTCATTGTTCCCATCTTGGATGTTTTAATTTGAATTCAGTATGTGGAAACATTCTCAGCTATACTCACACCAAATTTCAGCTCTATATATGTAAAAGTAGCTGAGTTAAATTCATTAACTTTATCTTTGACAGCCATATTTAGTGTTTTATTTGATTTCAGTGTTTATTGGGCATTGTTCTCAACTACCACCGCACCAAATTTCAACCGAATCGCTCTAAAAATGGCTGAGTTTTCGTATTTTTTTCTCTTTCAGCTAAGGCAGCCATTTTGGATATTTAATTAGCATTAAGAATGTAAAACGGCTCGCTCTCAGCTATGATTATACCAAATTTCAGCTCAGGATTTCAAAGAATGACTAAGTTCAGTCTGTGCTTTTCAATGAGAAAAACTGTCTTTGCAAATTGCATCGCCATGGTAACTCGAAATGCCAATAAAAGTAACAGCGCACATCAAAGTGCTGAGTCGGTCATTTTGATATAATCTGTGGGGGTACACATTGCAGTTTGGGCCATATTAAAGTTGACGGAAGAGTAAGATTCAAAGTTAAGAAACCCTTGTCAGGTGGATAATAATAAGTGCAGTCCCCAACAATGCCCAATAAACACTGAACTCAAACACTAAAGATGGCTGTCAAAGCTAAATTTAAATTTACAACTATAGAGCTGGAATTTGGAGAGGTTATAGCTGAGAATGTTCCCCATCACATACTGAATCCAAATAAAAAAATCCAAGATGGCCACCATAGCTTAAAAGAAAAATGACTATAACTCGTTGAATTTTTGTCACGTTCGACTGAAGTTTGGTTTGTTGGTAGCTGAGAGCAAACCCCAACACATAGTACTGTCTAATCAAAAGTTTAACATGGCCGCCACGTGGCAGTTCCCGTCAAAGCTTATCCAGGAACTTTCTAGTTTCATCTAAAACCACTTGATGCACAGTTGCATGACTGAGCCCCTGAATGTGAGAGACGGTGCTGCATGTATGGCCGTTTCCATACGCTGTACTGGTAGAGCCTGGTTGCGTCTACACGTTTCCGACTCAGTTTGCAAGCAAGTGCTGGTGTTGTACACAAATAGGTTTAGCTGACCATATAGGGTCAACTTCCTGTGATACAGCTGTCATTATCTTCCATAAAGATTAGGTGATTGGACTTTGTGAAACAATTTGAATCCAAACACACCAGCAGTATCCCTCTGAAAACACCCGTCGACCTTTGCCCCCCTGGCTGACAATAAACTCCTCCGTGCTGTAAAACAATAAACGGTGCTTACGAGTTGTAATGAAAAGCTAATTCTGTAATTATCCCGCTGATTAGGGCGCACACGCCTCCCCGGCTGGACTCTGCGTGTGTGGCAGGTGCTGACCGTAAACCAAAGTCCTGGGAGCGTGGAGGAACACGCACTCTTGGGTTATCTGTTCGGGACAGCGATTAGATTAATCCTGGTCCATTTAGATCAGGGCTTCGTTTTTACTGCCACTCTCCTCGGGCGACGGAGAATAAAAATATTCAGCGGTTTGATGATCGAGGAGAGACGTGTGTTCACGAGCCCACTTATGTTGTTAAATGTGTCTATTTGAGGGATGGTGCTGGGGGGGGTCAACAGTGCCAATCCTCTTCACAGCTGACTGTCAGTGGATGAAGAGTGAGGTGGAAGAGAGAGAGAGGAAGGATTAACCACAAGCTGGGGGTGTTGAAGGGCCCCCGAGGGATGGAGACGGGGGTCTCCTGCTCTCGGGGCAGTTGTTGGAAAGTGATAGCTGGGAAGTAAAAGGCTCATCTGCGACCGGTCGGCTTGGAAGTGAGACAGCAGGGGACAGCCAGAGTGGAGTGGGAGGGGGGGGCTGAGATTACAGCTTTATCTTGTCGTGGTGAATTAGCACGGCGGAGGAGCTCAGCCACACGCTGGCCTCTTCATTCCTGCACCTCCTGCCTGTTGGGCTCCACCTGAGTGAAACCGACGCTGTAACAAACTGTATCAAAGTCCCGTTCTTGGACAAACTCTGAGTGAACGCGTCAAAGTGGACGTGAAGCTCTCGCTACATCTGGGCTCTGTTGAAATGCATGATGGGAATAATTTTAGCAGCTCACCGGGAGCATCCCTGACCTTAGAAGGTCCAGATGTGATCCAGCTGAAGTGATGAAGACAGATGTGATCAGACTGCTCAGGAGCGGCTCCAGCTCTGTTTAATTGAATGTTTATGAATCATTCACACTGTTGTCATCCAATTTTCTTCGGTACGTTTTTTTTTTTTGGGCACAATTCTCGTCCCACGGTTTTAAAATTGTTTCAACAAATCATAAAACGTTCAGCTCTTTCAGGACAATCCTGCTATGACTTTTGGTATTGGTGCAACTTTAGCTTTTTGAAATATTTAGCCTTTTCTGCCATTTGTCTCCTCAAAGAAAATGAGTTGAGCTCATTTTACCTCCTTCAAATCTTTACATCTGTTTACAACTTTTTACTGCTCCTTTCACATTGTGTTCTGCTTCAGCTTCTTTCTGCCAGTTCAAACAGGTTTTCAGCTACTTTCAGCTGTTTTGTGCTCTCTTCAGCTTCTTTCTGCTAACCATACCATCCGTGTGCTTCTTCCAAGTTATTTCTGCAAGCTTCAGCTTTTATAATAAAGTGCTATGTGTTGTCATTGTCTGTTCCCACACAAAGACGAAATTGGCTCTCTGCATTTCACCCATCGCACATGGGGTTCACCCAGGTGGAGCAGTGGGCAGCTATGTAGGCGCCCGGGGATCAATAAGGGATTGGGCGTCCTGCTCAGAGACACCACGAGATGTGCAATGACCTGGGATCGAACCCGGTCATTGCACATCTCGGACCAGGCCCTTCGAGTTCCGAGTCAGCTGCCCTGCCTCTACACCATCTCGGCCCCTTTTTCTACCATTTCAGATACTATTTAGCCGTTTTTAAGCTAACTTAAGCATTTTCAGCTAATTCCACATTCTTTGCACTCATTTCAACTTTTTTCAACCTAATTTAGCAAAAATGTGCTCTCCATTTCCTTCTGGTAATTTAAGCCTCTTTCTGCTTTTTTAGCTACTTTTCAGCTCCCCCCCACTAATTTCAGCTTTTTTCAGTTGATGTCCACTTTGTGCTCATTTCTCCTACTTTCAGCCTAATTAACGCATTTCTACTAATTTCAACTTGTTATGGTTCTTTCGGCTTTATTTAGCTAGTTTCAGCTTTTTCTACTATTTCAGCTACTTTTTAGCTGTTTTTTGCTAAATTAAGATCAGCTAATTCCACATTTTTTAGCTCATCTCAGCTCTTTCTGCTTACTTCTGGTAGTTTAGTCTTTCTGCCTTTTCAGCCAATTGTTTTGCTAAACTCAGCTTTTATTTTGCCATTTCCCTAATTGTTGTGCTAATTTCTGCTTATGCTAACCTAATTCAGCAATTATGTGTTATTTCTGCTTTCTTCTGCTAAATTATTCTTGTTCTTCCAATTCAGCTACATTTCAGCATATTTTAGCTAATTTCAGCTGTTTTTCGGCAAGTTCTTCAGCAATAAGCATTCACACTGCATTTTCACA